TTTAGTCTAGGGGAGGGATGGTTATTAAAATGTTTATGTTTAGGGTAAACACAATTTCTCAAAGGTGGGAAGGAGTCTAAAAAGTTGGAATAGTGAGAGCCAACACCTATATAGCACTGTGTCACTGAAGTTAAGTACTTCACATATCAACTGATTTAATCTTCAACACTGTAAGATATTATTGCCAGCTCTATTTTATAGGAGGAAAACCAGAGTCACAAAGATGTTACTTAGACTATGTTTAACTAATAAATGGTAAGGCTAGAATTTGGACCCAGGAAATACAGAATGAAAATCTACACTTTGAATCACTATAATAGCAGTATATCTCCCAAGGACACACAGCGGCAGAATTAAAATGGCAAATGGAAATAAATGGCTTACTTTGAGAAATGTGTTAAAGTATTTAGTGTTAAAGAACAAAAGCAAGGCTAAATGTGGTGGTGTACACCTGTAATCCCAGCCACCCAGGAACCTGAGGCAGAGGATCCAAAAATTTTAGGTCAATTGGGTAACTTAGCAAGACCCTATCTCAAAATAAAAAGGGCTAGCAATGTAGAGATGGTAGAGTGCCCCTGGACTCAATCCCAGGATGGGGTTGGGGGTGACATACACAAGTGAGCAACACAGCTTAAATCAGAGGTTTTATTCAGGTGACAAAGCACTTTCTGAATCCATAATTCAGCAATACATCTTTTGCTGTATTAGAAACCATTCTGGCCAGGTATGATAGCACATGCCTGGAAATCCAGCTATCTGAGATACTGAGGGAGGATTACTAGAGCCCAAGAGTTGCCAACCTGGGCAACATAGCAGTTCTTTTTTTTTTTTTTTTTTTTTTAAAGTTGTACATGGACACAATATCTTTATTTTATTTAATTTTAATATGGTGCCGAAGATTAAATGCAGTGCCTCTTCCATGCGAGGCAAGAGCTCAACCACTGAGCCACAAACCCAGCCCACCATAGCAGTTACAAAAGGAAAGGAGAGAGGGAAAAGAAATTGTTTTGGAATTTTGCATAATCATAAAGCCAATAATAGGTTAAAATAATTTTTTTTCTAAAATTGCAAGGAGGAATACCATTTTCATGGCAAGAGATTTGATTTCACTTCATCTACTTAAGCAGTGAAAACAATGTTCTGAGCAACTAGTGAAGTATTCTGACATCTGGGATTTACAATAGCAGCAATGGCAGACACAGCTGAGATGGCATTAATAAAAACTGTTTTAATAAAAATCCTTTGAACTAAAAGACATGAGCAACTAAAAGTAGAAACTCCTAAGAGACAAAACATAACAGAACCAAGAATGTGATAGTGTAGAGAAGCAGCAAAACTAAGCTGTTGTTTGAAAATAAAGAAATAGAGGAAGATAAGGAAACAGATGTTAAATCAGAATAATTTTTAGGAGAATAAGAGAGCTAATCATGAAGAGTTTCTAAATGGTGGCAAATTGTCCAGATAGTGCAGCTGCAGAAGATATAGGACTTAACAGATGGAGAAGGTAAAGCAGAGATTAGTAATCACCACTTCAATGGGCCCAAATATGGATATAGCTGACTAAGCACAAAACTTGTCTCAGAAAAAATAGCACGAAGGCCTAGGAAATATTCAGAAAGAGAAAATGTTAACACTCTGACATCACCAAATTCATTCATTTGATAAATATTTCTTGAAATCTATTATGTGTCTGGCAGTATTCTAGGTGCTAGAAATCTGGGATGCCATACCAAGATAAAGCCAAAGTCTCTTGGAATTCACATTCTAACAGGGGAAAATACCAAATATATTTGGAAGAAAACACTGAATAGGCATTATCATAAAACAATGGAGATGGGCTGGGGATGTGGCTCAAGCGGTAGCGCGCTCGCCTGGCATGCGTGCAGCCCGGGTTCGATCCTCAACACCACATACAAACGAAGACGTTGTGTCCGCTAAGAACTAACTAACTAAATAAATAAATCTTAAAATTTTTTAAATAAATAAATAATAAAACAATGGAGACCTTTAATATATAGGTATATAAAGAGCTGGTTATGGGAGATAAGTGAACACAATATTAATCCTCCCTCCCTATCAGACAAAGTCTTATAGCCTAAAGTGATTATTGTTTTCCTTATCCTCTAGGGATAATAAATAGAGAAATGCATTTAAAATGTATCTACAAAGAAAAGTACAATTTGATTTTTACTTTCAAGAAAGCCTGTCAATATTACAATCCAGGGGCTGAGACTATGGCTCAGTGGTGGAGCACTTGCCCAGAATGTG